GCTAATGCCGTAGTTATTATGTAGTAGACTGCCTTTGGCGCCTAAAGGTCAATTTCAAATGCTAATGGCACGTGTTCCCACGTTTTGATACCACGCATATAGATAATAATATGATCGTGAATCTACAATGTAACTGAACTCTTTTTTTTTTCTTTACTTTGCTTCACGCGTGATATAGTCATTTGCGTAGCTTTTAAATTGTATTCACGGTTGAATAGTTTTTCGGGTTTCATTTAGCATCCTGTAAGTTTCAATGATATTTAAACAAGTTCGTGAATTACGTTTGGTCAGTTGATAAGCGAGAGAAGAAGACGGCGTTTATACTACGATGGGAGCAACTGTCATCGTTCGTTTAGCCATCGACATATTTTTATTTATTAGTATTATTAGAAATTCGTCTGCTCAAACATGCCAAACTGGCGATTGCACATATGGTGAGTGGGGATCTTGGTCATTTTGTGTGTGCAATATATGTGATGATACGGGCGATTACAAGCGTGAATGTATTCGGCGACGTTCGATTCTAAGTGGACCGGATGGGTGTGATTGCGGGGCAACATTTCAGTTACAATGTGGTGACATATGTTGTAATCCACGGTGTCCAACTACAAATTGGTCAGAATGGAGTGCATGTCCTAGCCAGTGTGACGTAAACGCGTACCAAAATCGCACGCGCTCTGAGTATCCTAATGAGTGCTCTCAGGATTGTGAGAATCTTGTTGAGAATCAGCTTTGTGCATCCGCAGGGTGCTGCCCGGTTGACTGTCATCTATATACTTGGAGTGAATGGGGAGAATGTTCTGTGAACTGTCAGAGCGAGAGCGGAATCAAGACGCGTTCCCGATCCTATGTTCAAGCTACCTGTGGAGGAAATGAATGTTCCAGTAGCGACTATACCGAAACAAGTGCTTGCCAGGGTCCAGAAATGTGCGATTCAGGGGCAGGTGATGTTGGCAATACCGGCGGTATAGATGACACTGAACACGATGGCCACAGTAACAGCCTTAGTAGTGGTTGTGTAACAGGTACATGGAGCAACTGGGGGTTTTGCCCGTCAGGAGACTCCCAGTATCGAACTCGGTTTACGATGTCTGGCGTATGTGGTGGACAGTGTAGTGAGAGCGACGGCATACAGTCTAGAGAATATCCGGTAAGTTTCTAGGAATAAGTTAGAGAAAGAAATTGAACATTTGCCATTCTATATGCATTTTCAATGAATGTATACAATGTATAACGAAAATGGTTTCTGTGGTGTAAAGGTACGATCAATTTAAGCAAAAGGCTGCAGGTTCGAATCCTACCCAATATAACTATTGTTTTTATTTTCATGTTAGTGCCAAATGCGAGATTTTAGCAAAGTCACATCATCAGTCATTATCAGCGGAGAGTTGCAGAAAAACAGTAAGAATGTTAAAAATATTATTTAGTTATTTTTTATGCAATTATTAACCGTGACTTGAAATCTCAAAGTAAATTATAATTTATTACAGTATTCATTAACGATATTCTGAATATACATTCTGGTGTAAGGAATGTTCATGTTATATAGACCTAGAATTTCATTATAAACTCAGCTGTGTAATATTCCTACAGTCTAATACGAAACTATTGAATCATGCAAACACTTACCAACACTCACTCACAGACTTTACCTAACACGCACATGTTACCAGACACCCCTGGTATGTAACCTATATAAGTGAAAATGTTTAATATCCCATATTTCTTCCGTAAGTATTCAAAAAACCTCAAATTAACTTACGGTCCCTTTACCAGTTTGAATGGTAAAGCAGTGCGTCTTCAAAATGTGTCGCTTTATGCACTGTACAACAAATCATGCTTTGTAGAAACATTCTCTGAAATAAGCATATACTGAATGTTCATAAGAATGATGTATATTTCGTACTTCTTGTCTTACACATAAACTTTCTGAATAAGTTATATTTAATCTGCTAGATCCAAATACATCGGTGATTCTCTCAGAACTTGGACCACCTACCAACACAGAACGCCAAGATATCAAGACGTATTATAAAGTAGCATATGGCAGTGTAAGTATGCATGGCCTATTCGTTATTTATTATAACACCAGTAATACATCCTTGCCATTTGGTTGGGCATTAAATATCACTTAAATTTACACCATTAAATATCAAATTTTTTCTTTTAAATTAGCATCATTCTTCACAACAAAATTAACATCAATTCCATTAATTTTGTTGCATTGCATATTTCATTCCTTGGAAGATGAACTGTTCATAAGAATAAAATATATCTCGTATCCATTGTCTTACACATTAATTTTCTGAACAAGTTATATTTACAGTAATCTGCTAGTTCCATGATCTAACTGAACACCTAGTTTTACTGTTCATCAAATGACAAATTCTGTTTTCGGTACATAATGCAATGATGAATATTTTCATTCGTTGAAAAGACTATTTCATTCAACTTAGCTTTCTCTTTCCATTGCCCACTTAAACAATCAGTATTTGTGTATTAAAACACACCTAAATTGATCCTTGTCATTTGATTGTTGGATTTCGTATCACGTGACATTGTTTATTAACCCCACCCCCCCTTTTTCGTCACTCGTCATAGAAATTTTGTTCCACTGTGCATTTTTACTTCCATCCATTGCACGATGCCTAAGATACAATGGCTTCAACCTCATAAGATCTTTTGATTGGTTACAATGACGCTGGACTGTTCCATTTAACTGGTACTGGTAACTAGTATGGGTAATTATAATGCGGCTCTTTCTTGTGGTTATAAAGCGCAGTTCTTTTCCCTGGTCATTGGGTCCACATGTTAAGTGTTGCTGCTGATCAGCACAGAAGCAGGCAACCCCACCAGGCACCCATTTATAGTCCTTGGTGGAGAGAAGCAATGCAGATAAATTGTCTTGACGTTGGGAAACCGAACCGTTCCCGCTGCGACAAACCGATTCCTTTAAACTGTAAGAACGTTACGTTTTATGCAATTATTAAAAACCGTGACTTCAAATCAGAAAGTAAATTATAATTTATTACAGTATTCACCATTCATCCTGGTGTAAGATCCTTCAAACCACAAACAAAATTGTAGGTATTTTTTTTTGTAAAGTATCAGAGGACAAGAATGTACATTCAGAATAAAAGGGAGATTTCTTTTCATAAAATATCAAATGCTAAGAATGTTTTTAGGTGTGTTATAAAACAAACAGTGAATGATTATTTATTCGCGCAATGGAATGCAATGGAACTGTTCCATTTAACTCGGCCCTGCCTCGTTGAATGGAACAGTCAGTCTTTCAACTCATTGCGCTCATAAACATCCATTATTTGTACAATACTTACCGGTACGTGTTCAGTTTACGCACTCCACAAAGAAGAATTTTTATTTATGTTTTATACAATAAAACGTAAGGTATCCCATTATAAACTAAATATATAAATATCTTTGTAACAAACACATAGTTGAACTATTTATTTTAAAGGAACTTGTTGATGAATTACAAGGCACAATACCTAATTATGCTGGGTTGGGATGTCTGCTTTCGCTGCTGGAATCTGCTGAATATTATTCCGCCAATGTATTAATACATTCGATTCAGGTACTCAGTAAAGACAATAAAACTATTCCAATCATCCATTTATCTATTTCTGGAGTTCAAGCATGTGTTCTTAATATAGTATACATATTAATGCAATTGCTTACTATTATTTAATGATAATCATTAAGTTCATGCCACCAATGTCGTATTTCAGAACCATGACGAGAATTTGATAAGTCAAGTTTTGATTCAAAAGACGAATGACGTAAGTTGACATTTACATAAAGACGATTTTAATAAATAAGATCACTATTTGTACACTTTGTATTCTTAGGGTTATAATTCACAACAAATATATCTTCCCATGTTTAAAATATTTTTCACCTTTAGCTTTTGCTTAAATTAGCAAGTTTTAACGGTTTTGTCTCATTGCCTTTTAAATACGGTAGTGATTGTTGCATTAACTGAATGTTTGGTTCTCAATTATTTTTAGGAAATTGATAAGATAAATGAAGCATATACACAATGTAAGTTTTTTTTTGTTTAATGCCTAACGTGTTGCCATAATTGTATAAATAGTTTACTTGTGAATGACTACTTTAATACCCAATATGTTGATATATTTAATGTTACGGGTTGTGAGCTAAAAATGTTGCATTCTATTACAGTGACTGGAAGAACAATTGATGCAGATTTAGCAGACGTATTTCAGAGTAACAATGAACGACTTCTGAGAGCTCTTGCTGAGGTATCACATGACAATCAATCAATCAACCAATCGATCGATCAATTAATTAATAATTCAAACGACCAACTAACATATCCATCTCAATCAATCAATAAATCGGATGATCATTCAACCAACTAACTAACCAACCAACCATGTAAAATCGAACCTGTTAATCAGTCAGTCAGTCAATCAATCAATCAATCAATCAATCAATCAATCAATCAATCAATCCACCCATCCATCTATCTATCTATCCATCTATTTATCTATCTATATACCAGTCAATCAATCAAACAATCACTCAATCTATATATTTAATAAATAACATCATAAAATCTTTTTCATTACTTTTTAAATAGTTATGAGTCCGGTTTACAACCATAGTACATCATGTAAGAACACTTCCTATCGAGTAATTTTACTGACCAATAAAGCAACAAAACAATTTGTTGATTTCCAATCATATATTTTCTTCTGTATGTAGAGACCGTTTGTTTAGGCCAGTCTGATTATAACAACTGATAATGTTCATATTATTTTGTTATCGTTTTTATATTTTTATGATAGGGAGGTCGTGACGAGACTGGGGCTGTTGATGAATTACTTTTAGATAGCGATGTCTTAACCCTCAGAGATGTAAGTAATACATTTACTTGGTTTTAATTAACAGTTGGTTTAAGATAAAGTAGTGATACTGTAGGTAACGCAAAATACATTTACTTAAAATGCCGTAGCCAGCTATTGGGACAGTTGGGACAGTCCCACACAATTTTTGTATTGGGTCCACAAAGAATGGGTCCACGTTTTTTAAAAATTGGTCCACACATGTAATTTTATATTTAAAATAGGTCCACTTTTTGAAAAATGGGTCCAGATTTCTCATATTTATCTTAAAATGGGTAAAATTTAACAAAATGGGTCCAGATTTTTCATATTTTTGCGTAAAATGTGTCCACATTGTTTAAAATTACGCGTAAAGTTGGTCCACCCTGATTTTGTCCCACACTGTTTGAAAATCCTGGCTACGGCATTGCTTATTTCATATTTATTTTGCAGTCTGTGCGTAAAAATGCAGGGAACCCTCGATTGGCGCAAAGTGTTCTGGCAACACGTGATTTTGAACATCTGAAGCATGTTCTTCTCAAGTTCAAGGAGGTAGGGTTTATTACGTCTTGGATTTGGTTTAATAATACAAATAGAACAAACCACACAAAACACTATTAACAAATTATGTATGTTATGCAAGTTGTGTGTGGGATTGTGTATTTTCGGTTGCATCGCATACTGCATGATGTTTCGAAACATATCTTATCACGTCATGTTATGATGATCCACAATGCAAAAAAAAAATCTCATGAAATTCTTGACTCGGAGGCCAAGTTGGTTTACGATTGCTATACTTATAACAGCAAAATATTTAATTTTATTTTATATCAATGAAGGTTTACTCGAGAAGATTCAGATACTTTCTTCAGCGGAATATCAATGGTCCAGTAATGCTTGCTTTCTTAAACATTGGTAGGACCTCTCTTTTATTTCGATGTTTTATTCAGAAAAGCCTTGTTTTATATAGAAAAAAGGCAACTAATTAATAAAAAGCGTAATGTCTCCATCGATCGATATTTAATCCACAAATGTTCTGACTGCAGTTTTGTTCAGTCATGTAAAGTTAGTAGCCTCCAATGTTTACAGGCACAGTACAACTCCATTAAATGAATAAAAATATATGGAGTTATAAACAAATAATTAATTAATTTATCATTGTTACCATGTTGTTGTTGCTGCTGCTGTTGTCACTGTGTTTGTTGTTGTGTTGTTGCTGTTATTGGTAATGTTATAATATATATAGATGGTGCAGATGAGTGATGTTTGCCCTACCTGACGTGTTATCGTACCGACAACTCAGTACGTTCCCAATGCTTCGAAAAAATTCGCAGGTGATTCAGGTGAGAATTGAAGCCACAACCTCCGAATAACTAGTCTGGTGCCATAACCGCTAGACTAGAGAGTTTACACTTAATGACTAGTGTTGAATCCGATCCCTAATAAGTAGCATCGAGTACTTCAAGTGCTCTTTCGATGCGAGTTTGCGTCAGGAAAATATCATAGAAGTAACGTTTTGCCTTACCTGACGTGTTATCGTACCAAGTACTTAGTACGTTTCCAAATACTTGCGAAAAAAAATCGCAAGTGATTTAGTGGGAATAATTGAACCAAGGACTTCAGTACATAGATAGTGTTGTGGTTTTCATTTTTGTTACTGAATTATTATTATTAGAACTGCAAATCAGATGAATCTATTCTAATAATATTTTTTATGAATTATCATTACTGTATTTTATTATTAGGCCTATGTGCCTAATTATTATTCTACTCAAAAATAGCGTTAGTGAAAAACATAGCAATAAGATTCGTTTAAAGCTACTGCATTTTGTAAGTTGGTTTATAATGTATTGTATACATAGCTCAAGCCGCAGAGGACCCTGTTTTATATTGCGTAATACGGATTCACGACGCCCTCTATCCGTCTAGTGGAAGCGTAGATGAGAACCTTCTCGTCAACACCATCATTGATTGTGTCCGGGTAAGCTTTAAGTATACCATTTAAATACAGTATACAGTGCCGTTATTATTTATGATTTCATGCTTTAAATTATTTTTTATTGAATAGTTTAATCATAATATAAAATTAGTAGGCCTATCAATGAAATGTATCCTTCTTGTATGCAGATTATAATTAATAAAGGCATATCACTTATGGTTTATATTCAAATAAATTAAAATGCTATTCGTAAGCTACGTAACTAAAGGCGTCGAACATTAAATGACTTACGTTTCCATTCAGTTCGAAATGTCTAATTGACACATATTATATTACATTCCTTTTTCAATATAATTTTGTATCGTTTGACTCATTTCTGTGTTTTCTTTCCGTTTAACAGAATGACATGTGTTTTGTGCGCGATAAATACTTTACACAATATGGCGTCGCACTTGCTGAAGACATCATTAGCAATTATGATGGTGGATGCCAAGATGTGTTGCTTGCAGTAGTGAACTAAATTTGCTAGTTCCCAGTCAACAGCCACAATCATCGAACTAAACGTTCAATATGATTATTATAATGACAAATATATTAATAAATGACAGTCTTAACACCAGTAACAATAATGCAACTTATCAAAAATGATATCAATCTCTAGCTCATACACTTACTCAATAAACTACTTTTGGCAATACTAGACACCTCTCAAGAGTTTTATTTATTTATGTATATATATATATGTATGTATATATATATTTGTATGTATGTATAGTATGTATATATATATGTATATATATATGTATATATATATATATGTGTGTGTGTATATATATGTATATATATATGTGTGTGTGTGTATATATGTGTATATATGTGTGTATATATATATGTATATATATATATATGTATGTATATATATATATATATATAGGCCTATCAGGGAGCAGTTACTGTTCACTGTTATATAATTATATTTATGCACGCATGTTGTTGGTTATGCATATATGTATTACGTTATGTTAAGACTTAAGAATTATGACACTGAATCACAGAATTATGAAACAGTTTAAACCCCAATAGCATTTTATTGATCAGTCATAAATTCAATTGTGATAAATTTGTTAATCTAAAAAAGAATGACCAAAATACGTTCAATTGTTTTATGCTTTAAGTTAATTGTGATCGCGTTAGATAAGAACAATATAAAGCATTCTTAAATCGATTGCAACAATAAACAATTTTGTTTTTGTTTTGTTTTCTTTACGAAGTGAATGTGCCATCAACGGCTTAGAAAAGTACGCTTATGTACTTATACATTATCTAGACCTGCCGCATATGAGCCTAGTCAAGATATTGCTGAAATATTAAAACATATATTGTAAAGGCCAACTCAGACAGCGTCGTACGACGCAGCTCTACGCGATTTGTTGTCGCGTCGGGTCTGTGTGAGTTAAACGCAGACGCGATGGTTTGCGTCGGGGACAGTAACGTCGTAGAATATTAAACATGTTTAATAGGCATTTTTCGTTTTGACTACGCGGCCAGTCTACTACGAACTAATGGACCGTGACAGCAACGCCAAGACACTGTTCGCGGCTGTTTCGTTTTTTAAGGCGACTACGACGACGCAGCACACGTAGGCCTACGGAGGGGAGTTAGTCAACCATGGTTTTATTACCAGGGAACAATGTTCCCTTGTTTTATACTTGAAAAAGGAAATATGAAAAAAAAAACTTAGTCAAATACTGTATATGAAATAAAAAGTTTCCAGAAAACTCTGAGTGATGTTTCGCTGTTGGCTAGGATCTAGGCCTAGTCTAGCCTAGGTGTCAAAATAGTCGGGAACCGGGAGAAGAGGGGTGTCAGGCCTGCTCAAGCAATTTGCCAAATGCAACGATGATGTACAAATAAACGTAGGCCTAGTACTGACAATTTTAAACAGAGGTATTTATATAACAAATCTTGATCCACGATATCATGAGCGCAGATGCCCTAGCTAGCGGCACCAGATAATGTGTTCTCTCCTACCCGAAATCCACCCTGACAAGGCTAGGCTAGCCTAGTTAGGCCTAAGCCTAAGTAAGAGCCTTTTTCACTATCCCCTGATTTACCTAATTTTATGTTGTGAATATTCATTCCTCATTTATTGTATGTGTATAAATAGGCCTTCATAAAACGTTTAATTACTCACTTGTTT